TCTGACCATCCGTCTGAGGGTGGTAAGACAATGAGAAGCGGAGCTAGGATCCGTACACCTCGTGTAGGCGTCGCCAGAATGTGCTGGTAAAGTGCGGGTCGCGGTCACGACTCGGTCGAAGACGATGTCGGCGACCTCACGAGCACTAATGCGATAGCGGCATGGGACAAAACGTGCACGCTTCGTGAAGCGATCGACGACGACCAAGATAGCATCATGACCACGCTCAGTGGGTAGGTGGAGGGGACTGCCAACGACCCTCAGGTATGGGTAGGGGCTGAAGTAACCCATACGGAAGGTGGTTCGCACTGTTCACCTCCTGGCAGGTAGGACAATCCTGGATGTAGGCTTTGACGAAGTCCTTAGACTTCGGCAAGATGTATAGGCGGCAAACACGAGCCAACGTCTTGTGGAAGCCCATATGACTGGCAGCTGCCTGGTCATGGAACTTTGCTACAGCCTGGACGCGGAGCTGTCCGGTGGAGGGAACGCAGATACGTGGTTCTAGCTGACCAGATCTGCCATGCCAGTACACAAGGTCGTTCTCCCCGAGGGAGAAGGAAGGAAGTGTCGCGTGGATGACGCGATAATCAGGGCAGTGGAGGTACTGAGTGCGATATGCGTCGATCACTGACTGATTAACAGTGGTGATGGAAATGGTAGCAAGATGGATGGGTTCCTGATTATGATCAGGACGGCGATACAAGGCATCGGCGACGCGGTTCGTTTTACCCTTGATGGGCTGAGTGGTGAAACTGAACTCGGATAAGTCACGCCACCAGCGTGCCTGTCGAGGGGAAAGCTTAGGCTTCGTGAGGAAAGTTTGGACAACTGAGTTGTCCGTGCGCACCGTGAAGGGCGCCCCGTGCAGGTAATGACGCCAATGCCGGGTGGCATAAACTACTGCGAGAACCTCACGTTCATCGGCGGTGTAGTTTATCTCGGCAGGCAGTAGTTGACGGGAGTATAAGGCGATCGGGCAATCCCCAGCACGAGCCTCAACAGTCCCATCCTCCGCGATGGTCGGGGAATAAGTAATAGGAGGACTATCAGTGGAGGGAAGTGGTGGGAAGATAGGCGTCAGTCGAGAAGCAGTGTCAACAGGAGGGGGAGGGGAAGGAGGAACATGGGGATAAGGTGAATCAGGAGGAGAGGTAAACACCTGAGAAAGTACTGCTCCTACTGCAAAATTTGACGCATCAGTGGTGACGATGAAGGGGCGATCAAAATCTGGGAGGCGAAGAACCGGCGCACAAGTCACCGCCTTCTTGAGGGCGCGAAAGGCGTCCTCGCACAGGGGTGTCCAAAACCACGGCGGGTTCTTCCGGAGGAGGGTGGAGGCAAGGACGTAGGAATACCTAGCGTATCCCTGGATAAAATTATTATAGTAGCTGGTGAGGCCTAAGAAACTACGAAGCTGCTTGGCAGAGGTGGAGACGGGCCACTCCGCAATAGCAGTGATCTTCAAGTCGTCCATGTGGAGACCCTGGTCAGACACATGGTGTCCTAGGAAGTCCACTTTGCGCTGGGCAAAGCGGCACTTACTGAGCTTGGCATAGAAGCCATGCTTGCGTAAGTGTTGTAGGACATCGCAGAGGTGTCTGATGTGGTCTTCTAAGGTACGATTGTAGACCAAGATGTCGTCCAGGTATACGAGAACATATTCTTCAAAGATGTCCCTGAAGATGTCGTTCATCGCCGTCTGGAAGGTGGCGGTTGCATTGGTGAGGCCGAATGGCATCACCGTGAACTCGTAGTGGCCGAAGCGTGACCGGAAGGCGGTCTTCGACTGATCCTCTGCGGCAACACAGATCTGGTGATAACCGCTACGAAGATCGATCTTCGTGAAGAAACGGTTGCCTGCTAGACGGTCAAACAACTCATCCGCGCGGGGCATCGGATAGTTGTTCTTAACCGTGTAACGGTTAAGGCCGCGGTAGTCAATGCAGAGGCGGAGAGTTCCGTCCGCTTTGCGAGCAAAGAGGACAGGTGCACCCCAAGGGGAGTTACTGGGTTTAATGAAACCCAGTCGAAGGAGCTCCTCAAGCTGACGCTTGAATTCCGTCGCCTCTGGAATCGAGAGTCGGTACGGTGCCTGATGGTGAACATGATAGTCGGGCACGAGTTGGATAGAATGCTCAACACCGCGCATCGGAGGGATCCCGCTGTATGAGAAATACGGAGGGAAGACGTCGCGGTACTCTCGAATCAGGTCGCGAACGGCGGGCTCTAAGTCTGTCGTGAACCGTGTGAGTTCCTCAATGTCTGCGTCGGCACGAGACGTATGTGTGGACTCGACAGTCGACAGCGCAGGGGCCAAGGACGTGGAGGGGGTATCCGCAAGCTGACGAGTGGACGTAGAGATAGGAGCCGCGAAGATGGAGCAAGGGTCAGGAGGATCGGGCTCCAGTGAGATGAGCTCAACCTTGGGGCAGAGTGGATCGTAGCGAAGAAGATCCATGACATTCACTGAGTAGAACGTGACGTCCTCCTGTCGTATGAAGTGAGCAAACTGACGAGGAGAAGTGAAGGCGATGTCTGGGTGGGACCTAGAGGGACGAGGGTCCTAGGGACGTAGGTCTGGAGGGGTGTCGCCCGTGGTTCCAATGAAGGGGACTCGATGGGTTTGACCACACTTCGTTTTGAGAACGAGTGTCTCGGTCGCCCGTTCGGCCTCTGTGCCACGGAACCGGCGAGACCAAGAAGTGCCAAGGATAAAGTCATACCCAGTCTCCAGCACGTCGAAGTATGCGGAGGAATGGTAGCGCCGAGGCGCCTGGGTACTATCCGGTGGCTGGAGGGTGAGGGAGAAATGGAGGTCGGGAACCATCTGATCGAAAAAGCGTTGTGTCTTGTTATCTTCGAGGGTAACGAAGATAGGAGAGTGAGACCCAGAGGTAGCTAGGCGAGCTTCCTCAACCACTCGAGGGTGAACGAAATCTCCCTGCGAGCCAGAGTCCGATAAAGCGCGGTACACCCTCGTAGATGTCCGTAGGCGAATAAGGATAATGGTAGGGTCCAATCAGGGTCAGAAAGCAGAGCGAGAAGACAATGCAGGACGTTGACGTGTCTCATGAGTCGCACCTGACGAGCGTGAATAATGCTCAAGTCCAGGAGAGATGACACAACGTCATCACGTATCGCCAGCTCAGCGCTACAACGGGTTGTGCGAATGGCGCGACACGTGGAAAGTCTCGGATGGGAAGCACTACACTAGATGTGGCGGTCTACTGTGAGGCAGACGGTACCTCGACAGACGACGGGGCAGAGGGAACTACGTCTGTCGTGTCCTGAGGATCCTCTGGTGGGGTAGCCAAAAGGGCAAACCGCGACTCGGTGGTCGGGAAGCCGGCTTCGTGCGAGGCCTCAATGGTACACTGCACCGTGGCTAGGTGGGTGGGGCTGGTCGGGTGGGGCCGGGGGGGGACTGAGATCGACGCTGACGAGAGATGTCAGCATAGTGCCGATCGAGGGCGGTATGGTATGGACACCGTGAGGAGGTGTGTCCATCCAGGCGGCAACGAAGGCAGCCTCGACGGGCCTCAAGGGCGGCACGCTCCTTAGGGGATAGAGCTCCGCGAGGAGGGACAAAACCCTGCGAAAGGTCTACCTGAGGAACTGTGGGTGTGCGGGGGCCAGCTTGTGCAACCTGACTGCGCGCACGACCCATGGCAGACATGGCCATGTGCAGGCGCTCGGCCACGGGAACAGTGTCGTCATCCAAGTCCTATTGGATGACGTCTCGGAGCTCGATGTCCTCAGGGGCGTCCCCAAAGGTAGGGTCAAGCTCTGTCGAGGCATCCTCGCCATACTCCAGAGAACTGTAGCGCCAAGAGAATGGCGCTCCAGGTCGAGCTGGTCGGCGAAACCGACCGGCGAAGGAAGATCGACCGCGCGTGGTACCGCGTGACTGGGTGGCGGCGGCGGTGGATCGCGAAGAAGATGGGGCGTCGGAGAAGCGACTTCGCATCTTCTGATACTGTCGAGCAGCCTCATAGGCCTGCTCGGAGGAGGTGAAGCTTTGTCGCCAGAGCTCGATGCGGTAGTCAGACGGAAGAATGACTACGAACCTGTTGGTCACAAGGACCTCAGGTAGGAGTGCCTCATCAACGATGAGGCGGGCGTCCTGAAGCACTCTAATGTGTCGCTCAAGATCGGCTAGTTCGGAGTACCCGCACCACTGCGTCTGGGTGACCCGATCTAGGGCGTCGGTTGCATCGTGGAGAGTGTCGTAGCGATCATGGAGGAACGCGGTGAAATCCGTGAGAGTGGGAGCCTCACCTGAGCGAGTACGATGGGTATAATAGTTCTCCCATGGGGAGAACGCACTGCCTCGCAATTTAGCTGCGAGTGCGGAGCACCACAACTCCTGACCCGTGTTAGTCAGTGTCAGCGCACGTGTGGCAGCCCGCAACTAGTGCGACACACGCATAGTACCCTCGAAGTCGGGTATGTCCGACATACGCACAACGGTGGGACCGCTGAGCTGACGACGAGGGGAGAGAGGTCGAGGGGCCTGCACTGCGGCGGCAAATGTCGAGGCCGATGCACACGTGGAAGTGGTAGCAGGCTGAGAGCCGGGGCTGCTGGTGGAAGGTCCAGCAGACGTGGAGGCAACAGCCGCAGCCAACTGTGACGGAGTAGCGAGGTAATAGGATAGAGGGGAGGGAGCGGGTCGAGGGAAACGAGCCGGCAGGACAGAGGTGGGAGGGGCGGTATAAGAAGAAGGATGGGCAGCCTGTGATAGGTGAGGCTGTCTCAGGGAGAGAATCTCCGCCTCGAGTTGCACCACGGTGGCCTGTAGGGTAGCCACCCGTTGGGTGCGCGGGGTCGAAGGTGGAGGGGGCGAAGAGAGTACCCTAGCGGGAGGAGGAAGAACTCCGGGCCGTAGTGCCGAGACCGGTGCAGGAAGCTGGAAAGCAGCACCGGGGTGGGTAGATGAAACTGCCTGGCCAGATACCGGTACCTGGGCAACAGCACATGCGGCAGTGGCCGAAGCGGCCGGAGCGGCAGGGGCCATTGAGTGTGCCACAACAGACGGTATGATCTGAGCGACAGCAGCACTCACTACTGCGGAGGGGGAGTGATGGGTCTGGCCCGCGGAGGAGGACGAACCGCCATGTCTCCGTCCGTGGAGTCGTGGAGAGCCGGACTCCGAGCCGGTAGGGGATGGGGTCTGAGAGCGGTGGGGAGAGCGATGAGGAGAGCCCTTGAGGTGGTGAACTTCAAGGGCGAGCGCGTTGACTTGCCTCTCCAAGGGTGCAAGCGCATCGAGTCGCGCTTGAAGAGGTGCAAGGAGAGACGCAAGAACGGCGCGGAGGTTCGTGGGGTCCACAAAGTGTTGTTCCTCGACCGTTCGGTGGGTGGACGCTAGAGAGGTGGACGGCGTCGCGACAAGCTCCTCAGATGTAGCCCTGTCCGTGCGCGGTGGAGGAAGAGAGGTAGACATGGTGGGAGGTGGGGGGTAAGAGGGGTTATGGTATGGGAACAGGGGACCACCGGTGAGAGGGAGGGGACCGCGAGAACGGAGTGGGTAGTCGTGTGTCGGCTCGCCCCGTGACCAGCGGGTCACGCGTGAGATGGTGGCGCGAATACGGTCGAAGGGAGAGGAGCCGTTCGGGTCCAGGGTGCCCGACGGGAAGAGGCGGGGGAGTAGGGGGGGTTAGGAGAACCCTAAACCCTAGAAAAACCCTAAGAAAACCCAAACCGGGGTTCGGGTGGTTAGGGGAGGGTAGCGGCGACCTAATCAAGAAAAGAAAATAATAACCACGTGAGGGAGGGGGAGAGAAAATAGAATAAACAATAAAATTTTGAGATAAAAAATAATCATAACAATAAAAATAAAAAAATAAAAAAAAGTGTGAAAAAAAAAGTGATATTTATTTTATTTGGAATTTTCGGCAGCATTTTCCCACCCCACATAAGGTCAAAAATGTGCCAAGAGGAAGGAAAGAGCGAGAGGAGCACACTAACTTTCAAAATGCCGCAAATTAAAATTTTCAGAAAAATAAATAAATAAATAAGGAGGTGGAGGGGAGTGAAGAGAAAAACTAAGTTTTGGATTTTTTCAAAAATTTCGGCAACACTTCATTACCCCCATGGGGTCGAAGTGTGTCGTCAAGAAGAAGACCAAGTAAGATGGAAAAATTTGGCCAACTTCGCTACCCTCAAGGGGTCAAAATGTGCTGAAAAAAACTAAGTAAAGAAAAAACAGAAAATTTTGGTAGCACTTCGTTACCCCCACGGGGTCAAAATGTGTGCCGAAAGCAAAAATGACTAACTCCTAATCAGATTTGAGGGTGCCGCAAGGAAATTCGAATTTTCAGAATAAATAAAATAAAAATAAAAAATAAATCAGAAAAATAATAAAAGATGTACGGAATAAGATAATTCGATTTTTTGGAGGAAAAGGGAAAATTTAAGTCAAAGAGAAAGAGAAAAGAAGAAAAACAGAAAAATTCGAAGTTGGGTAAGGGGGGATGGAAAGGTGATGAAGAAGGAGAGAAATAAGTGAGAAGAGAAAAAGAAAGTAAAGTGGAAGATGGGGGAGATAATGGGGTTGTAGTTGGGGGAGGAAAGGGGGAGAGGAGGGTGGTAGAATGGGAGAAAAGGATACAAAAAAAGTAGAGAGGGGTATGCAATGACTTGCTGATTTCTGTTGCCGAGATTGACAGCGAGGCTGTACACTAACCCAGTAGGTTAGTTTCGTAATTTTATTTGGTTGAGGGCTAACCCAGAGACCTGGCTGTAAGGAAATTCGTGAGGGACAAATCTGCAAATCCGGGAAAATGCAGGCCCGGTACTAACCGAATTCCTACAGCTACCCTAACTGCCTATAGCAGGCTCGGGCTACCCCTAGGACAGACAGACCCTAAGCGGCCTATACTGTTAGACGGTCCTATAACCTATAGCCGGGTCCGGTAGAGGCCGAGAGGCCAAAACAGCAACGGTACCGGTCGGTCAGTCAGTCTGGTCTAGGTCTAGAGAGTCTATAGATAGGTTAGGCCCATCGGTTCATGACTATTGACAGTTCATTTTCTCGCGAGCAGCGTTGGAGAAGCCAAGCAAGTTGGTGGCGGTACCTGTCTACACGCAGTATCCTGAGACGCGCCGTGTCAGCAGCCATAGCCGGCCCTCTCTGAGTCTGCCATAGCTGGGGCATCCTCAGCGCATCTACCCCTGGGGGTATCTGCGTATGGCCGGGCTGTATCGAGGCTCTACAGTGGTGGTTCGTGGGTGGTGGCAGCCATAGCTGCCTGTTCCTTCGTCAGAGTTGTCCATCGGCACTGAAGACTTCCTCGCAGGTTCGCGCTGGCCTCTAGGAGGCTGTTCTGATGCAGCGCTACTAACTGGGTGTAGGATGGAGAGTGGGGTGTGAGTTCTGAGGGTGGCGAGATACTGGAACAAACTCTGTTACGATAACTGTGTGAGTGGCTCATCATCAATGATAGTTTCAATTGTGATCTTCGCAGGTTCTTTCTTGTGATTGGTTGTTGGGAGTTGTGTCAGAGAGTGAGAAACATTGTGTGTCTTCTCCCCAGCTGTGCATGATTGCCTTCCGCTGCTTATCTTCACATGTGTGCAGTTTGGACTCTGTCTCCTCTCTCCCCTTCTCTTATGCATGTATGGGCATGTGTGAGATTGTCTGTGTG